ACATTAATTTAATAAAATACTGAATTTCTTCCGGGATTGATAAGGACTTTATAACCTGCTTTGTCTGAAGGGAAATCGAGGCCCAGCACAATAATGCACAATAATGCACAGCACAATAAGGCCCAGCACGATAATGCACAGTTGAGGCCCAGCACAATAATGGGACTTGAACAAGGTTGTCTAGCCTTTAAGGGGAAGGCTACAGCCAGGGTCAGTTGGATCCCACTCTGCTGTACCTGTGAATTGCAGTTCTAAATACTGTAATAAATGTACTAAGGAGTACTGTAATAAACGTACTAAATAGTCCTGCATTTCTTGAGGAAAATTCTAGAAAAATTCACTGGGGCTTATATCCCCTCTCAACCTGGTATTTGCTTGGTCAGAAGTCCTCTGAGTTATGAAGCATCCAGGCCTTCGGGGAACTGTTTTGGGAGTAGGAGGTTTTTAACCTTCATGTACTGTTTGCATTTGGAAGAGAAAGGTTGTCCATAAGTTTGTGTTTTTAGTCTCCTTTCTGGCTAAAGGACACAGCTGGGCTCCTCTGAATTCCTGAATGTGCTGTTTGACATGGAGGGTAAGGGAGAAGCCTCAGAATCCCTGCTGGGGAAGAGTGGAGGCTTCCCCAGTTTGACAGTGGGAGTCCCAGGACAGACCTGAAAAGATTCTATGTGATGATGATGATGAAGATGATTTTAAACTCTAACTAAACTCTAACCCAAAGCCCCAAATGACTGAATTTAGTCTAATTCTTTGTTTCTAAGATTCTAGGAATTCACATGAATAAAACAATTGCCAATGTTCTCATCAGTCAAAGCGCTCTGACCTGGACCCTGGCAGATTCCAAGAACACTGAGCACAGGCTGTGATGATCAGGCTCTTCAATACTCAGCCTCTGCTGACACACCCATTAAAGGGGCCACATGGGTTGATGCTTGTTTTAGTCAGCTTTTCCACGGCTGGGACCAAAAGACCTGGCAAGAACAATTTTAGAGAAGGCAAAGTTTATTTGGGGGTTCATGATTTCAGAGGTCTCAATCCGGAGATGGCCATTTTGGGGACAAGAGGTGAGGCAGAACATCATGGCAGAAGAGTGTGGGAGAGGAAAGCAGCAGGGAACAGCTGGCACCAGGAAGGGGAGTGAGGGAGAGAGGGGGGAGGGGGGAGAGAGAGAGAGAGAGAGAGAGAGAGAAAGAGAGAGAGAGAGCTAGAGAGAGAGCTCACATCACCACCGCAACAAATAAACCCTGAAGGCACCCTCCCAAGGACCCACCTACTCTAGCTACACTCTACTTGCCTATAGTTAGCGCCCAGTGAATCCCTGTTAAGGGATTAATGCACTCATTAGGTTAAGGCTCTTATAACCCAATCGCTTCACCTCTAAGCTTTCTTGCATTATCTCACGCATGGGCTTTTGGGGACACCTCATATCTAAACACAATGTGCTTCAGCTGGCTGAGGCCTGGTAATTTTACCTCTCTCCTTATAAGAGGGCAAGAACTTTTGTGGATCCGTCTCCTGGGAGGAGTCAGCTGGGCTGTTCTCCTTTCTGCAGCCCCTGGAAATTACCCTTCTCCTTTCTGCCTCTGTACATTTTACCACCGTAGTTACCTCCTGTAAGTAGAATCATGCAGTATTCCATGGTTGGGGGAATATTCTGTGGTTAATTTCACAACATAAGTCTCCAAGGTTTATCCATGTTGTAGCATGTGCCACAAAAATGCTCTAAGGCTGAAAAACCTAGGTATATGCCATGGTTTGTTTTTCTGTTCATCTGTCAATGGACATTTGGGTGTTTTTCTTCTTTAGGAGCTTGAGAATAATCCTGCTAAGAACTTGTGGGTATAAATATCTTTTTGAGTCTGCTTTTAATTCTTTTGGGTATCTATAAGAGATGGAATTATTGAATTATATCATTTTAAATTTAATTTTTAACCACCGTATTATTAACCTATATATAGTCTATGTATATATGTATGAATACACACACACATATATATACATTACGCATAAACATATTTATAAATGTTTATGTATTGTATGTATATACATTTGTGTATGAACATATAATACATAAACATATTTATACATACATACATAGACTATCTCTATATACAGTCTTCTATGTTATATTCCCACCAGTGATGCACAAGATTTCAATTTCTTCATATCCTTGTGAACATTTTTTTTTGCTAGTAGTTATCCTAACAGTGTGAAGCTGTGTCTCATTGTGGTATTGAGTTTCATTTCTTTAATGGTTAGGAATGTTGATTATCTTTTCATGTACTCATTGGGATGGCTAGGATTTTGACCATATTCTCCAGCTGAATGCTTCTCAGTGGTGGTTGTATATTAAAATATCCCTTGAAACTATTGAGAAACATAGTGGTGTTTGGGAGCTATCAATAATTTAGAATTGTAGAGATGGAGACCCAAGCATCAGCATTTTTTAAAAGTAGGTGGTGGAGCTCTGGGTCTCATATCATAGGACCAGGGTGGAGTCATGGCACATTTCCTGGTATTGTCCTACTTTCAGCACACACTTTTTTAACCTTCTGTGAAAATACGACACACACACACACACACACACACACACACACACACATACACACACCCAGTCTTTGTCCCTGGGTTTTGATGCAGAACTTCTAAATTTCTTTGAATTTCTTAAGTGATAGGGGTGTCAACATCTTTCTTGTAATCCAGGTGAACCCCATTTCAATAATAGTTAAGTTTACACTAATGAGGAGGCTCTTGAAGAATCTCAAGAAAACTTTGGGCTGGGGTAGTTGCCAGAGGAAACAACCTTGTGATTCGAGGATTAGAAATTTTCATCCAATCTCTGGACCTCTGGGGAGGGGAGAAGAGCCGGAGATTGAGTTCAGTTACCATTGGCCAATGATTTAGTCAATCATACCTATGTAATAAAACCTCTATAAAAACCTTAAGTGATAGGTCTCCAAGTGGTGATCATACTGAAGTGCTGAGAGGTTGGCATGTCTGGAGAAGGTATTGTAGCTCATATTCTGTCCTTCATACCTTGCTCTATGTATCTCTTCCATTTAGCTGGTCAGTAATAGAAAGTAAGGTGCCTATTTTAGTTCTGTGAGCTATTCTAATAAATTATCAAACGTGAGGAGGAAATTGGAACCCTTGTTATAGATTTGGGGAATATAAAATGGTGCAACCACTATAGAAAAAATTATATAAATTCCTCAAAAATTTAAATATAGAATTATATAATCCAGCAAATATAGTCAGTAGATAAACTGATACTACAATTGGTTCTATAGATAATTATAGTATAGGTGGAAACCTAGAATGTGTAACTTGTATCTGAAGTGGAGTTGGTCTTATGGAATTGAACCCTTTACCTGCAGGGTATGTACTAACTCCAGGGAGTTAATGACAGAATTATATTGATTGCAAGACACTCAGTTTGTATCTGAAAAATTGAAGAACTGTTTAGTGGAGAATAAAATACACCTATTTCACCAGAAGTGGTGTGAGTAAAACAGTTCATAACTTCCTTATAATAAGGTAGGAATAATAATATCTACTTGGAAGATTGATTTTGATGTTGCACTGAGACAATGGGACATATGATAAATAGCATTTAGTAGGTAAATGTCATGGGAGGAAAGGGAGGGGACAACTGTGTTATTCTGTTTTGATGATAACGAGGGGAGACGTACTCACCCTGGAAGAGAGGGCAAGACAGGATGAAACTGATAATGGCCAGGAACAGTGGTTCATAGCTCTGGCTACACATGAAAGTAAATCAGAGATTTTAGTTTCTTCTGAGGAGTTGCTTGTCAAACTGCTTTCCACAGAAGACACATGGGTTAGGGCTCTAGAATTGGTTGGCCACCACCTCTCAGGCCTGTTTTAGGAGAAAAATCTCACTGTAGAACTGTAGGAGGCAGAGAAGCTGCTTCAACCTCCAAGGACCTCACCTTCAAACATAGCCTGAAAATAATATGAAGGAAAAACAGTGCTGAATGCTCTCTAAATCTCTTCACTTTAGTAGTGTGTATTAGCAACAAGGTTGGGTAAGTAATTGATTTAAACATATGATTTCTTATTTGATAAAATATTCTTTTAATTTCCAATTCCTACCCTGCAATGCCAGCTCACACGATTGGGATAATACTACTATTATGTTCTTTCATCTTGTAGTATAACAAAGAACCAGATGGCATGATTTCAATAAAAAATATTGAGTTCAGGTTCTTTTGTCTGCTGTCTGCATTCAGGAAGGATTTTCTTTGATATAATAAGGCCATTATTAGATTTTAATTAAGTGACAGGTGATTATGAGAGCCACGATTTTTAGCATTTTATACCTAAGTTTTACAAAGCTTAAAAATGTTCTATAGGGCTTTTTTTCTCAAACATTATGTTTATACTCAACCAATGGAGAATCTCAGATATATCGCTCTCTCCTCTATCTGTGTCTCTATCTGGAATGCCAATCACTTTAATCAATCAGGAGTGTATTCTGAATTATCTTCTTATGTAGCCCTATTTATTTCCTTTCTGTGTTCAGTTCCTTTTAATTAAAAAAAAATGTCTGTGCACACGGATTTGGATCAGAAAGATCCTGGGAATGGAAGCTATGCCCAGGAACAACTCTTGGCAAATCTGGAAAATGGTCCCTGTTGGCCTTCATCAAACACAACCTAACTCAATCTCCTACTTGCTCCCTCAGTCTTCGTTACCCACTCCCTTCCAACTCCCAAAGCCCTAACCAGGTTATAGTATTTTGATTATCCATGGGGTAAATACCATATAAGGGTTGATTTCAGGCTGCCATGAAGTCTTTATGAAGCAAGGAAGGGGAAGTAATTTCAATCCCTGCAATCTGATCTGGTGTGAGCTGGCTCCAGCATACCACTGGTCCTAATCATTGCTGTCTGTCCTGCCATCTGTGTCAAAACCCACTGTCCGAATAGGATTTTTCATTAGTCATTTATACTTTTCTGTGAATTTCTGCCTTTTAGGTCCCCATTTCAGAGGATGTGTTTTCCACTCTGGAAGAAAGAACCGGAGATTTTATGTCAATGAGCAGGTAACCATTTCATGGAAGATGAGAAGAATGACTTCTACAAGCTCATATCCACATTGTGGGGAGAAAAGAACATGTGAGAAGACATCATGGAGGGCAGGGCTGTGTCCCTAGCCTCTTCACTGTGTGATCTCAGGTAAGGTGTGCCTCTTCATTGGCCTCAGATTTCTCAGGAAGGAGTGAGCCAGCTGGCCTCTAAGGGTGCTCCCATTTCTGATATGTCACCTCTCCATGTGGAATCATCAGAGTCCAACTATGCTCAATCACAAAATCACAAAAACTATGAGCTGTGGCAAAGCAGATTAACAGATCATTTCATCATGTTTGTTTAATCAATTGAATGCTTCTCATATGAGGAAACCAAAGAAGTAGGTAAGGGAATTAATGCGCTTATTTCTTAATGAAAGAACCCTCACAAACTTTGTAATACTTTTAGCCTGTCACCGGCATTTGTTAGTATGCAAAGAATTTATCTATTCCTTGTAATCAAGTGGTATTTATCATACAGTCGTTACCTTATTAAGCTATAATAAATGTCTAGTTAAGTGCATATAGGCTGTTTCCATTGCAATTTAATTACCAGCCTAGTTAATTAGGCAATACACTCCAACACCATTTTTATTCAAAGGGTTCCTTGGCTTTATTAGCAGGTTCAAAAGAAGGACCAGTAGACCCAATACCATTGGTTAGGAGAAGTAGAGAAAACCATGAAGCAGCTTCCATTTATACAGTGCCTACTATGTGCCAGTATTTTGTAGAAACCATCTCTAAATTCTCACAATGACTCATTTAAGTCTTCAAATATGGAAAATAACTGCTTACAGTGCCTATGGACAGAGGGCCTGTGATATTTGCAGTCAAATGCTGTACCACTGAGCTATACCCCCATGGCCTGTGATATTTGCATCTTTCTAAACTGCAGGGACAAAAGGTGGGTGCTCCATACTTAGTAGATATCCTGCCTCAGGACTGCAGTCAGAGCTCTCTCAGCACTTCTTAGGAGTCCATTCCAGTGCCACATTTCTCTTTAGGAGTAGTTTTAGGAATTACTGAGAAATCTCCATCAATGCACGGGCATTTCTCATGCAGTAGGTGAATGAACAAATAAATTTTATTTACTTGTTTTAACATTAGCTTAAGATTCTGAAGCATGGGCAAATGCTTCCTTTTAGGAAACTCTGGATTTTCAGTGTTGTCAATCGCTGTACTTCAGAGAGAATGAAAGACTCCAGAGAGCAGATATTGATGGGGAATGGGACAGAGGATGGTAGGAGATTGGGTGGGGAAAGGAAAGAGGAGGAGATGGAGAAGCAAATTACTAGACTTAGCACTTGTGCTGAGCATTAAGTAATTGTCCTTGTGGAGCCTGACAACCTAGTTCTGATCAGAAAAATCACATGAGCCTAGGAAAATTTGTGGCAGTAGAGTTTTAGATTAGTTGAAGGTGTGGGGTTTGGAAAATCATTATGATGTATTTGAAGCCTCACTTAATTGCTAAAAGCTGAAGGACTATATTCTGAAACATTGTGACTTGTTCTGAAATGAGGTTAGGAATGCCTTTTTTTGTCAGCAGTGTAGGGTTAATGAATCAAAGTATAATAGGTCCAAGGTGTCGACATCTTATGCACTAGTTTTATGTCACTATAATAAGAGATCTGATATAATTAACTTATAAAGAGAAATGTTTTGTTTAGTTTGCTGTTTTGGAGATTCTGATCCAAGATGGACTGGTCCTATTGCTTTGGGCTTGTGGCAAGGCAACATCATGTTAGGAATAGGTGACAGAGCCAAATTGTTCACTTTTTGGCCAGGAAAAAAAGAGAGGACAAGTCGGGATTCTACAATCCTTTTTGGGGGCATGGCCCCAATGACCTAAGGAATTCTCATAAAGTCCTACTTCTCAAAGATTCCACTATCTTCTGAAAGCACCCTGTGGTGGACCAAGCCTTTAATGCATGGGCTCTGGGGGACGTTAAGATCCAAATTATGGCATCCTACCTTCCAGCTCCAAAGAAGGTACTCAGTACTCCTAGGAGGGATATCAGCTTCATGTTCCCTGGATTGTCATTACAAGGCACATACTTGGTGGTATGCGGTTGGCTGCAAGACAAAGCAAAGGGTGGCTAAAATTTTAAAACATTTAGAAAAGGACCCTAGATATAGATTAAATATTCTTAGATTTGTTAATTGAGCTATAGGACTCATTTTAATCACTTCACACTATGATCCACTGGATAACATTTCTAAAATAAATATTTTATTTTCTTGCTTACTCATTGGAGACTTATTTCTGAACCATATTTATTAAGTTAATTACTAATTCAGTTTTTGGAGAGATGCTGTATGTCTATTTATGCATTAAAGAAAGAACCTGTATAATTCACCAGTCATCCTGTCATAAGCACCTAACACAATATCTGATACATAATAGCCACTACAGTGTCTATATATAATAGACAATATACATAATAGACACTATGGACATAGTAGAACATTTGTTGAATGAACTCATTTTTTTCCCCTGGAGTAACATTTATGTAAAGGTCATGGATTGGCCACTAAAGAGAGAAAGGATGCATATAGTTAGTATCTAAATTGATGCTAAACCGACCAAGATGAAGCATGTGAAGGGATTAGGTGATGCCAATGTCAGTTATCTACCAGATACACTGTTGGCCCTGGAAATGCAGCAGTGAACTAATCAGACAAAAAAACTATTGCTTTCATAGCATTTACATTCCAAGAGCAGAGATATGACAACACACAATAAATATGTGGAGAGGGAGTAAGGGAAGTGTGATGATTAATTTTAGGTATCAACTTCAAAAAAGGGATACCAAAGACAGCTGTAAAGCACTGTTCCTAGGTATGACTGTTAGGGTATCTATAGAAGGGATTTGCTTTTGAATCAGTGGACAGAATAAGAAAGTTCTATCCAACAGGAGCAAGCACCATTCAGTCAGGTGAGGACCTGGATAGAATAAAAAAGCAGAGAAAAGGTAAATTTGTTCTTCTTCTGGATCTAGGATAGCCTTCTTTCCCTGTCTTTGAACATCAGAACTCCAGGTTCTCAAGTCTTTGGACTCTAGGACTTGCTCCAGTAGCCCCTTAGTTGCTCTGTCACTCAACCTTGAACTTTGAGTTATTCCTTTGGTTTCCTTGATGTTCAGGGTTTCAGAATGGGATTAAGGTGTGCTAACAAGTTACTTAGTACTCTGGTTTATAGATTACGTATCATGGAACATCTCAGCCTCTCTAATCTCATGATTCAATCTTCGCAAATATAGCTTCTCTCTCTCTCTCTCTCTCTCATCTCCGTCTCTATAAATATCATCCATCCATCCATTCATCCATCCATCCATCCATCCTATTGCTTCTGTTATCTGCAGAGCCCTGATGAATACAGAAAGGGACACATACAGGGAAAGGTGATAATGTGTGGGAGTAGATGGATATTAAGGAAAGACCTCCCTCATAAGAGTACTTGTGAACAAATATCTGAAGGAAGTGAGGGAATGATGCAAGAAGATATCTGAAAACAATAACAAAAAAATTCTGATAGAAGAGCAAGTATAAAGATCCCAAAACATATCTGTCACAATGAAGAAACAGTGAAGAAGTTAAGAAAAAAATGGATTGGGTTGAATAAGTAGAAAAGGAATAAAATGGGGTTCACAGAAGTATCAGAAGTCAATATCATACAGGGCCTCATGGGTCATTATAAGGACGTTGAATTTTATCTTGAGTGAGGCAGGAAACTAATGAATTTTGAGTAAGTGGATGATTTTACAGGATCACTGGGACTTCAGAAATGAGGACAGATTGGAGGGTGAAAAGAATTAGTTAGACAAGTCTGGAGATTGTAACTGTGCTGAGATGATGATAGTTCTGACTAAGATGGTGCTGGATGAAGTGGAGATGGTGGAAGTAGTCATAGCCAGAATACAGTTTGAAGGTAAAATCAGCAGTGGTCTCTGATTATGTGGTATAAGAATGAAAGAGAAGAGATAAGGATGATCCCAAGATTTCTGATTTAAACAATATGAAGAATAAAATTTTCATTTACTGACATGGAAAAAAATTGTGGAAGAAGCACGTTTTGGAGGCTTTGGAGAATTATTAGGAGTTCAGTCATGTCTTTTTAATTTTAAAACATCTTTTTAGAATCAAAATGAAGATGTCAATGAGACAATTGTGTGCACAGAATTGGAATTCAGTAAAGAGTTTTAGAATGCAGACGTAAATTAGGAATTGAGCCATGAGAATAGGTGAGATAACCAAGATAATGATTATAAACAGACAAGGGAGGTAACTCAAGGTGTGAACTCTGGGGCATAGGAGAATTGAGGAGAAACCAGAAAAAGAATCTGAGAAAGTTAAACAAGTGAAGCAGTAAGAAACCTACAAGAAAGCCATTAGAAGAAAGTACTCCAAAGAAGAGGGAGTGTGTCTGGTTCTGCTGGTGGATCAGCATCTTTAAGATAAGAATTGAGAATTGACCATATTTTTGTTGAGTTTAATAAAGTAGACATCACCAATATCCTTAAGAGCATTTTTTCTAAGGATGAATAAATTCTGAGTAAAATCTTAACTAGTGTATTCTCAAAATTGGGGAAATAAAAAAAGCACAGAAATGGAAGAAACATTTTTAAGAAGTATTATTGCAAAGGAGAGCAGAGAAATAATGTAAACGTATAGGTGGATGTAGAGTGAAGAACTTTTTTATTTTCCATGATGGGAAAAGTAATACCATGTTTGTGTCCTAATGAGAATGATCCAACAGAAATAAAAAAGGGATGATTCAGAAGAGAGGGGGAAAATTAATGGAGAAGAATTATGGAGTAGAAGAAATTATGGGTCCAGTGGACAGGCACATATAGAAATAAAATATATCACAGCAAGTTCATGAAGAACAGAAGGATGGTAAACAAAAAAAAAATGTAACTTTGGTCTTATCCATTTCATGAAGTAGTAGAATGTTTTACTAATGTAGGCTCTGATTAGTAAAAGACAAGTAATAAATCTGTAGCAACATTAACACAAACCTACACACACACACACACACACACATGCAAACACATAAACAAAGAGACATAACTAAAACATCAGTGAAGGAAATAGAATTCTAAAACAATAAAAGAGCTAAAGAGAAAGATCAGATGGCACAAATAGAGGAAAAAAAGCACAAAAGTGGAATTAAATCCAGATATAATGATTATATTTATTATAAATGAAATTATCCTAGTAAAAGTACAAGATTGTCATAGTTAAAAAAATACATAGCAATAAGCTGTGTGTAATAAGTGCACAAAATACAAAGCTTCAGATAGGTTGAAAGTAGAAGAATAGAAGAATATGTAGCATAAAATATCAAGTAAAATCCAAACCAACCAAGCAAACAAAAACAACACAAACAAAACTAAAAGTATTGTGGTTATTTTAATAGCAAACAAGTTGGAAACAGTCTTAAAGAAGATTTTATACACAAATAGACCTTCAAATGAAAAGTGTAATACCACTAATACAGAGAAACACTTCATATTTATAAAGAGGTCAATTCATCAGGGGGATATACAACTCAAATGTGTATATCTCCAACAAAAATCTAGGAAATACATGAAATGAAAATGAACAGATCTGAATTGAGAAAAAAGAAAATGCATAGTCAGGAAAAGTGACAGAATAAATAAATAAAAAAACAGTGATATAATTTGGTAAATATTGTAAAATATTTGGTCTAATGTACATTTTACATAACCCTAAATCAGACAATAGATTAGGCATTCTTTTCAATCACACATGAATTGAATGCAAGAATGACAAAGTTCTAAGAAACAAGTTTTAATAAATTTCAAAGAATTGAAATCAGGTAGCATGTGTTCTCTGAAGTCCACACATTAAATTATAAGTCAATAATATAAAGATATCTAGATATACAAATATTTGGAAATTAAATAACAGATTTAAAAAATTCATAGGCCCAAGAATAAATTTCAAAAAATTAAAAAATATTTTGACTTAATGAAAATTCAGTACATTAAAATAAGTGAGATATAGCTTAAATATCTTAAAGGATATTTGTAAAGCTAAATGTCTCTATTAAAGACAAAGAAACTAGAAAACTATAAAAAGAAGAGAAAATTACAAAGTCAATAGAATAAAGAAAATTAAAATAAAATTGAATATTGACGAAGTACAGAGTGAACAAATGATACAGAAAATGAACAAAATGTTCATGAAAAGATTTGTAAACTTTATAATACTATAGCAAGACTTTTCAAGAAAGAAAATATGAATCACCAATATTAGGAATAAGGGGAATTAATACAGGTTTCACAAATATTTAAAAAATTAAAGAGATATTTTGAATTGTATCATGCCAACAATGTTTACAACTTAGGTAAATTCATTGAAAAATATAACATCTTTTTATTTGCAGTACTAAGGATCAATTCCAGAATCCTTGTACTTGCTAGGTCTGGTCTACCACCAGACTACATCCCTAGCCTGAAAACCATAGTTTTAAAAGCTGCTAAAACAGGAACTTAAAAGTTGAACAATCTTATTTTATTTTGTGAAAAATAAAGTTTTTATTTGCAAATTTAAAATATTGTTTTAATAAATAATATAAAGTAATATTTTAAATAATAAAAATATTTTAAATTTATAAGTAATTTTCCACATCAAGAGAATGAAAAGATAAACCCAGACTAGGAGAAAATATTTGAAAAAGGCATATTTGATTGGGGATTATGAACCAAAATAGACAAAGAATTCTTAATACTCAACAGTAAAGAAAAAAACAGCTTGATTAAAAGGTATGTCACTAGATGAATTGGAGGAGGTACACAGAAGTGTACTGAGAACCTCAACTCTGCCTTGGCAGGCTCTTGTGTTAGGAAAAGCATTTCAGGAAATATCAAAAGAGAAACAAAAAAATTAGTAAGTTACATATATCCTATATATAATTGCAGAAAACAAACATTTCCATTCCAAAAGGGAGAAGTAGGGCAAAGAAAGAATGAATGGGACCAAAGTAAGGCAAAATCCACCTGGATAAATAAATCCTCTAGCTGCATGTCCAGTATCTGCGGCACATGGCATCATAATGTTCTCTCCAAAGAACTTGTGTAGCTCTGCCCCTATGACCTTGCTAAGTGCCCCCCATATGGCCTCTATGTTAGCTTGTTTCTGCAGTTTTCCTCAGCAGATGTCCCACAGCTTGTCATGGGTATGGTCTCACCAATTCTCCAGATGCCCTCAAGCCATTGTTCTTATTGTCTCTAGATAATGTGCTTAGCATCTCTTTGGCAGCTGTGATCTCTTTAGCAGACACTACTTCCTTGATGCCAGTTACTGACATGTTTCTAACCAAACTGTAAGGTTTTTAAATCTTTCTGCTCTGCTTTCTGCTCCTGATTGTCATAGCAAATTTGGCTGAAAGCCACAAGTAATATTCAAGCCACTGTCCAAATGCTGTCCTGCCTTGAAATTTGCCTTGTCAGACTAATTAGTCCATCACCTTAAATTCAGCCTCACAGAAAGTCTCAGGATGTGGACAGAATATATACAACTTCTTTTTCATAATGTAACACGGATGACCACTACTAGTCCAACTTCCAGTAGAGTTCTCTTTCCCCTCTGAAACTTCATGAGCCAAGTATTTCCTTTGCAGTCCTATTGGCATTTTGATCTTCTGAGTTCTCACCAGAATCGTTCATTAAATTCTGCTTACATATTCCAAGGTTTTTTCAGCCTTCATTTCCAAACTTTTTCCAACTCCTTGTGCTTTTAAAGCACATCATCAAGTTAGTCATAGTAATGACCCCACATTTATGAAACAATTTTCATATTAGTCACCTTTGTGTCAATGAACAATGTACTCAACAAAAACAACTTAGAGAAGAAAAAGTTTATTTTGGCTCACAGTTTCAAAGGTTCAGTCCATGGTCATAGTTATGGAGTGCATGGACTCCATACCTCTGAGCCCAAGGTGAGACAGAACATCATGGCAGAAGGGTAGGGTACAGGGTTGTGGCAAAAATAGTTGCTCAGTTCATGACAGCTGGGTATATAT